ACAGTGCGTGCATGCGTGGCATCCTTTGTTTGTCTGTCCTGAAAGGTTACTGAGAGTGGGCCAATCGTTGATCGTCACGAACAGCAACGCCTTTAGGTTAAATTCCTCATGTCTGTGCTCATCCCACGTACGTACACCATTTCCATTCCACAGCTGTAAAAGTTCTTCAACTAATGGCCTTAGGTACACAGCAATGTCGTTGCCGAGTTGCTTAGGGCCTTGGATGAGAACCGGCATCATAATGAACTTCCGCTTCATGCACATCCAAGGAGGAAGGTTATACATACATAGAGTCATGGGCCAGGTGCTGTGATTGCTACTCTGCTCCCCGAAAGGATTAATGCCATCCGCGCTTAAAGCAAACCATACATTCCTTGTGTCCTTTGCAAACTCATCCCAGTACTTTCTCTCGATTTTTCTCCACTGCGACCCATCAGCGGGTGCTCTCAACTTCCCGTCTTTCTTCCGGTCCTCACTGTGCCATCGCATCAACTTGGCATGCTCTTCGTTTCTGAACAGACGTTTCAACCGTGGTATTATAGGAGCATACCACATCACCTTCGCAGGAACCCTCTTCCTGGGGGGCTCGCCGTTAACATCACCAGGGTCATCTCGTCTGATCTTATACCGCAATGCACTGCATACTGGGCATGCGTTCAGATCCTTGTATGCACCATGGTAGAGGATGCAGTCATTAGGGCATGCATGTATCTTCTCCACCTCCAATCCTAGAGGGCATACGACCTTCTTTGTTGCTTATGTACTGTCGGGCAATTCGTTATCCTTTGGAAGCTTCTTCTTCAATATTTTTAGTAGCTTCTCAAATCCTTTGTCAGCCACAACATTCTCTGCCTTCCACTGCAGCAATTCCAGTACGGTACCGAGCTTTGTGTTGCCATCTTCGCAATTGGGATACAACCTTTTTTTGTGATCCTCTAACATGCGATCGAACTTCAGCTTCTCCTTTTAACTTTCGCATTGCGTCCTTGCATCGACAATGACCCGGCGGAGATCATCATCATCGGGTACATCGTCTGGTTCCTCTTGATCTTCAGCAGCTTCACCCATTGCAGCATCATTGGGCACATCGTCTGGTTCCTCTTGATCTTCACCAGCTCCCCCCGTTGCAGCATCACAGTATTCAGGGGGCACATAGTTGTCATCGTACTCTTCTTCTTCGTCGTCTTTCATCATAACCCCTATTTCTCCGTGCCTCGTCCAAACATTATAGTGTGGCATGAAACCCTTGTAAAGCAGGTGGGAGTGAAGGATTTTCTGGTTAGAGTAAGACCTCGTATTCCCACATTCAGTGCATGGGCAACACATAAAATCATTCTGCTTGTTTGCCTCAGCCGCATCGAGAAACTCATGCACGCCCTTAATATACTCAGAGGTGTGTCTGTCACTGTACATCCATTGTCGGTTCATCTGCGTGCATTATATATAATTAAGTATCCAAATTAATAGAAGTTCATCATCACATTAAAACCAAAGTACATACATAGTTCTCATCTAACAACATATAGCTCTCCAGAGCATCTAATTAATTAAACCATACATTGAAACTATGTAAAACATTTCAATGCGAAAACAAATGCGATCATAATCGCAACCAAGGTAACAATTGATCCAACGGCATAATGATACGAAGCCTCGGTATGAATGGCATATTTTCTAATCTTTCTAATCTTCAAGCGCATTGCATCCATCTTAATCTTGTGATCATCGACGACATCCGCAACATGCAACTCCAATATCATCTTCTCCTCCTCAATTTTTTTATTTTTTCCTTCAACAAATTGTTTTCTTCTTCAACTAAATTTAACCTCTTGACAATAGGGTCGGTTGGAATTTCCGATTCACATACATCCTACATAAATAAAATCTATATCACGTTGGTCGGCATAATTTTCATAAACAATAAATGAACCAATAGTTATAAAGATAATATATATACCACATCCGAATCATAGACAGGACGAGGGCCGACGGGGGCGGATACCAAAACCATCGCACTATATAAGATGCAATAATAAAAGTAAAAAAATAATACAAGTATCTATGTAAACATACAAGTAAGAATATTTTTCCTTTTAGAAAGAAGATAAGAACAAGAGGCTCACCACTGTGGTGCCGGCGATGAGCTCGGCGCGGGTGATCGACGGCGGTGAAGACGGGGACGGGGCATGACGGGCCGCTAAACCTAGACAAATATTGAGGAAAATGGAGCTTGGAGGTCGAGCTTGAAGAGGAGAAAGTTAAGTAGTGTGGCTCGGGCATTCCATCGAACACCTTGTGTGCATAGGAGGTGAGCTAGAGCACCACCAAGCCCTCTCCCCCTCAGCCAGAAAAAAATAGAGCAGTGTGCTCTGCTCTTACGCGGGGGGGTATATATAGGCACCTCATTGGTCCCGGTTGGTGGCATGAACCGGGACTAAAGGGGAGCCTTTGGTCCCGGTTCAAGCCACCAACCGGAACCAATGGTGATGGGCCAGGCGCGAGGCCCACTGGTCCCGGTTTGTCCCACCAACCGGGACCAAAAGGTCCAGATGAACCAGGACCAATGGCCAACGTGGCCCGGTCGGCCCCCTGGGCTCACGAACCGGGTCCAATGCCCCCATTGGTCCCGGTTCTGGACTGAACCGGGACTAATGGGCTGACCCGGCCTGGACCGTTGCCCCCTTTTCTACTAGTGAGCGACATGGCCGACCTCCACCACCACCTCGTCGGCGCCGAGTCCCTCTGCTGCCGCTCTTTTGTACTGTCTTCAACCATTCCCTTATCCCTCAGCCACCGTGTCCCTTGCGACAACAGCCTCAAGCAATGACATGTTGCCTGCAACTTGAATACGATTATAGCTAAAGCTAGTTCAAGATCGAAGACAGCAAAATGAGAAGGTATATTTGTTGCTTCCAGTGTATACACGGGGATGAATATGCACTGATCCAGATCAGTTCAACAGATAGTAGGTTGTACCTCCTGTTTGACATCCAAGCACTTCTTGATGTGCCCACGCCAGCCTGAGGAGGCTGGGAGCTCTCCTATTTCCTGCATTATCTGCGCTAGAAGGCTTCTTTAAAACTGAAGCAAGAAGCGTTAAAATAAAATTGCAATACAAACAATTCATTACTAAAAAACGGAATGAATACGACTGCCATCGTCCCTGATAATGAGAAGGTACCAAATAGAAGAGCACTACATCTATATGGCAACACTGAAAAATAGGGACAGAAGCAATGTTAATAAGTGAGAGGCTGTCCCAACTAAATTAGCTATATTTTGTGATCTCCTCTACAGTAGCATGATCAAGTAATATGATCAGTGTGAAGAAAGAAAAATGTTTTTGAATTATGGTGTGGGTCTTAAGAAAATTATGTGAAAAGAATGTAATAAGAACTGTATATATATATGTACTGATGTAAGTTTTCATATTTTAAATATTTTCCTTTCGTGTCAGTTAATCTAGAGAGGATATGTATCCTTTTCTTCTATAGCATTGTCCACGTAGGATTAGGAACATTGCCTCAGATCGAGTCGCCAGTGGGTTGTCCGTTCTGTCGAACAGCCAGACGAGAGACAAAAAGAGAGAAACGGATCGCCCAGCCCCAGCCCCCGTTCCCCATTCCCCAGCCCCTGATTCCTCCCCCTCTCCCTCTTCCTCGTCTGCCAATATTGACACAAACTACTACTGTAATACCGGAGAATGATATATGATCATTAGGTGAAATTCATTATCTTCCTGTAGTTTTTTCCTACACTAAACCAGATATCGGCACCAAAAACACAAATCATGACCCCAAGAGGCCATCAAAGAGATGACGACGTGCTAGAATCATACCTTTCATGGGACGAAAAACTCGACGAATAGTTAGATCAGATAGAAAATGACAGCGTCCCATAATAACCAAATAAGTGCATTTCTATCAAAGATATGAACCTTTGGATCTAAGTGTAGTCCAGAGAGATGTCCCTCCTGAAACCGTGGATGCGATGAAGAGGAATGTTTCAGGCATATTGGGTCTGCTTCAGTCTAATCAGTGAGAGGGCGACCCCTGGCCTGGTGTACTGAGAGGGCGAAGGGTGAGTCCATACAAGCCAATCTCCTTACCGTCTGTTTAGTAAGACAACTTGATTACCATATCCGTTGAAAAGGTTTTGAAGCATCAGGGGGATTTTTAATAAGTTTAAGATATATTCTTTTATTTGAGTATCTCTTTGCCGCTGTTGATGGGCTGGCAACGGATGATTTTCAGTAAGAAATTCTAAGCTATTTGGTTTATGCTAATAGATTAGCACACCTGGCGAATGCAGTGGGTTTCTTGGCCGTGCCCGAACTCGTTCTACCTCTTTCCCTCTCCTCCTGACATGTTTCTGGAACTTTGTATTTTCGTTCATTTGCAATGGAAAGGGGTATAGCCCGGTTCGAAAAAGATTAGCGCACCTGTGATTTCTAGCTAAAATGGGCTGGCACCGGGTGTTTTCTAGCTAAGAATTCTAAGTTATTTTGTTTTACAATAGTAGATTTGTTTTTATTCAATGCATTTATTTCAAATAATTAGCAGACCTACAATTTCCAGCGAAAAATGGGCTGGCACTGAATGTATTTCCAGCTAAGAATACCAAGTTTATTTGCTTTTACACTAGTGGATTACTACTTTTTATTTGCTGCATTTATTTCAAAATGATTAGCACAATTATATCACGAATCTTCTATTGGATGCACTGCCAATGTTAGCGTTCCAGAAAAATCAACTGCAATTACGAATTAAAACTTGCTAAATATATGCAAATAGTACTAAGTAGATTGGAGTACTATTCCGTCAATCAGGCCGTTGGATAGCTTTCCGAGGTGGAGTGTTCCCATCCCGACCGTCCAGCCAACACTCCCCTCTGGCGTCTCGCAAAATATTCGGCTGTCAAAAAAAAAAAACTTCAGATTTAGACGAGGCGCCTCTTCGTCCGTTTCCATTCGCTACCAACCCAGACACAAAGCCCCAACCATGCCATCACGGCCACGCGCTCCAGGTTCCGCCGCCGAGATGGGCGCCCAGGAAATCCCTGCCCGGGGCGGCTCCCCTGCCCCTCCCGTCACCACCAAGCACGACGCGTCCGGCACTGGCGAAGCCCAAAGCGGCCCCGTCCGCTCCCCGGCCCCGGAAGGAAGCGACCGCCCGGTGGAGGAGGAGAACTCCCCCGCGGAAATCCCTTGGTACGATAAAATTGAGAACATAGATGAGGACTACCGCCTGTACTTGAGTTGCATACGCATGGTGAATGGCCACCAGATGGTGGTCGTGCCGGAGGGCGGGCTGGACGCGAAGCTGGTTCCACGGAAGAAGGGTGGGGAGGAAGCGGCTTCCCGTGCTACTTCAGGGAAGAACGGCTGCGGCTTTGGGAAGAAGGAGGAAGGGAAGGGGAAGGTGGCGGCGATCGCCACGGGTGGGCCTGCGCTGAAGTCTCCCGTGGGCGATTCCGCTACGCATCCGCAAAAGGTAAAACCGCTTTCGTTTCCCCTCTCAACTGAAAAGTTGCCGCTCGCCTAATGCAGAGCAAGCACATGTTACATATACCTGTGCGAACAGATTCAGAAGGAGAGGAAGAATGGATGGAAAAATGGTGCTAAGAAGATGAAGGTGGCGGAGAAAGAAGAGAACCCGTCGGCAGAGCCGCATCTGGAAACACTCAGCACTGCGTGGGTAAGAATTTCTTATGCTTTTTCAATTGTTTTTTCCCGGCCAGCACTGTTTGTTAGTACTAGAGCTGTGGTTTGTGGTTTATATTTGTGCATGGTTGTGGGTAGACATGCAACATAAGAATCTATAAGTATGTTAGAATAATACGGAGTAGTAATATAGTATGCCTTATACCAATGAGCGTAAATGATGTTGATGCAAACCTACAACATGTATGGAACTAAAAGTACTTAGGACCATGGCGCGTGTATTCATCAGGAATTAATCTGGTGGTTGCTGGTATCAATATAAAAGTACAGACACCTATGGAGTACTTAACATACCTTGTCTCGGTAAGTAGCCGAGTTAGGATTTAAGACTATACTAAAGAAGATATACATTTCAAACTAAAAGAAAGAAAATTTATTTGGCTAAAAAGAATTATTTTTGGAGAAGGGGAAGGGGAATGTGGAGCCGAAGCTGCCTATGGAAACACTGAATACTATGAAGAGGAAAAGGAAATCAAGTGATGTCCAAAATGCTGAGTCTCGCACTGCTTCAGTGAGAATTTTCTATGCCTTTATGTTTTTTCCTAGCCTGCACTATTTGTCAGTAGAGCTTTCGTTTATAATTTTATATATGTGGTTGTCGGTAGATGTATCTTGTACCACATAAGAGTCTACAAATATGCTAGAACAGTAGTATATCGTGTACCAGTGTGCCAAGCTGATATTGATGCTTCCTGCAACATGTGTGAAAACTACAATACTGCATTCTAAATCACGTTAGTTATGAATAAATGAAATTTGTTGTATGCTTGTTAAATATGGAGGGGCATTCATGGTCAAAGTTGAATTTTGGATTGCGGACGGGCCTTATTCATTGGAACAAAGGGAGTACTAAAGAAGAGAAATGCATTTCAAACTAAAAATAAAAGAATTTATTTGGCTAAATAGAATTAACTTAAGTATTTTTTTTCTACTCTGTAATTTTTTTTCCTCTTACATAATATCCACACATTACAACCCTTTCCTAATACTAAAACAGTAAAGAAATGTTAGCATCAAGGATATGGAAACTAAAAGTATTTAGGAGCATGGTGTGTATCTGTTAATAATTATCTAGGGCTCATTGGTATCAATATTTAAAAGTACAGACACATATGGGGTACTTAACATACCTTGTCTCGGTAAGTAGCCGAGTTAGGATTTAAGACTATACTAAAGAAGATATACATTTCAAACTAGGGAAAGAGAATTTATTTGGCTAAAAAGAATATTTTTTGGAGAAGGGGAAGGGGAATGTGGAGCCGAAGCTGCCTATGGAAACACTGAATACTGTGAAGAGGAAAAGGAAATCAAGTGATGTCCAAAATGCGGAGTCTCGCACTGCTTCGGTGAGAATTTTCTATGCCTTTATGTTTTTTCCTAGCCTGCACTATTTGTTAGTAGAGCTTTCGTTTATAACTTTATATATGTGGTTGCCGGTAGATGTATCTTGTACCACATAAGAGTCTACAAATATGCTAGAACAGTAGTATATCTTGTACCAGTGTGCCAAGCTGATATTGATGCTTCCTGCAACATGTGTGAAAACTACAATACTGCATTCTAAATCACGTTAGTTATGAATAAATGAAATTTGTTGTATACTTGTTAAATATGGAGGGGCATTCATGGTCAAAGTTGAATTTTGGATTGCGGAAGGGCCTTATTCATTGGAACAAAGGGAGTACTAAAGAAGAGAAATGCATTTCAAACTAAAAATAAAAGACTTTTTTTGGCTAAATAGAATTAACTTAAGTATTTTTTTTCTACTCTGTAATTTTTTTCCTCTTACATAATATCCACACATTACAACCCTTTCCTAATACTAAAACAGTAAAGAAATGTTAGCATCAAGGATATGGAAACTAAAAGCATTTAGGAGCATGGTGTGTATCTGTTAATAATTATCTAGGGCTCATTGGTATCAATATTTAAAAGTACAGACACATATGGGGTACTTAACATACCTTGTCTCGGTAAGTAGCCCAGACAGGATTAAGACTGTACTAAAGAAGAGATGCATTTCAAACTAAAACAAAAAAATGCTAAATATTTTGTTTAGAAAGGGAAGGACAAGGTACCGACGATCATCACGGGTGAGTCTGCGCCGAAGTCTCGTGTGCGCGATTCCACTACACATCCGCAACAGGTAAAATCAATTCCGTTTCCCTTCTCCAGTTAAATATGTTGCCGTGTGCTAAAGCAGAGTAATCACATGTTACATACACATGTGCAACCCCGTAAAAAAAAACATACACATGTGCAAACAGGGTCAGAAGGAGAAGAATGGAGGCAAAAATGGTGCTAAGATGATGAAGGTGGTGGAGGAAGCAGAAGGGATTGCGTTGAAGGAGCTGCCTATGGAAACACTGAATATTGTGAAGAGAAAAAGGAAATCAAGTGATGTACAAAATGCCGATTCCCACACTGCTTCAGTGAGAATTTCCTATGCATTTTATGTTGTTTTTTCAGCTTGCACTATTTTTCAGTAGATGTAGATATATATGTGGTTCTATCAATATGCTAGAACAGCAGTACATCATGTACTACCAATGTGCCTAGCTGATATTGATGCTTCCTGCAACATGTTTGAAAACTATAATACTACATTCTAAATCTCGTTTGTTCTGAATAAATGATTTTTTCTATACCTGTTAAATATGGAGGGGAGTTCATGATCAAAGTTCAATTTTGAATTGTGTGAGGGCCTTATTCGTTGGAATGAAGGGAGTACTAAAAAAGAGAGATGCATTTCAAACTAAAACTAAAAGAATTTTTTAGGCTAAATAGAATTCATTTAACTATTTTTTTCTACTTTGTATTTTTTTCCTCTTATACATAATACACATCACCCGCAAAAAAAACATAATACACATATTACAACCCTTTCCTAATGTTTTAAAACATTAAAGAAATGTTAGCATCAAGGATCTGTTTAATGATGTTTTCACTTGTTGCCTTCGGTGCAATCGTTGTTGGTTGTTATATATACCTCAAGAAAGTGGTCTAGGGAGGGAGGACTAGCATGAGCCATGCCATGCTTTTAGCTGCCTCGAATAAATATCATGCAACTATATATGTGCTGATTTGGATGGAGCAAAATTGCATCGAGCCAGGCCCAATGAAGCCTGCACGCTCGCTTTCATCACATTTCGTTGTTTAGTGATCCAACATACGATCTCTCTAGTATCCTAGTAAACATATTTACTTCATGGTGCTTTGCATCTTTCAGCACACTTTGACTAGGCAAATACGGCAAGTTGAATTTTGTAGACGAATATAAAAGTAGAGTTCTATTTCTTATGGGAATTCTTAAACATATTACATGTCTATTTCTGACCAATCTGCATCTTTATGCATAGTCATGTGGTTTCCTTTTTCTTCTCTTAAAGTTTCAAGTAATGAATTAATATGTGATTCTACTTTTTGTCGCGCTTCCAGACTGACAACAGAAAGCCACAACTTCGGAGATCTGCTCGACTTATGCTCAGTCCGCCTGAAAATGATCATAAGTAGGCTATAGAGTAACGTCTCTTTTTGGAGAATCAAAATAGATTGCTTCATTCCAAAAAAATCCTTTTAACTTGTTGTTTGGAATTGTTCGAATACATACAATGGATATGTTGGTTCTCGGATTTTACAAGCACCTAGTTAGACCATCTATTAGTCTATTGGATATGGTAATTTTTTCTGAGTAATTGGAAAGATTGCCACCTTTCAATTAGAAGAACATGGTTGTGTTGCAGTTGTTTCTATAAGCGACTATTTTGGGAGGTATAGTCGAGAAACCTATCGCATGGCATGCGGACTACAAGAATTTTGCATGGATATCTGCCAGAGCTAGGTGCACCACCTCCTGATAAATCATTCTCTGTCCATTGTAAACCAGACGATTCCTCTCTTTCCAGGCATTCCATAGTGTGTAGATCAAATTCCCATTTTGCACCTTCAAACTTTGCTCCCAAGGGATAGCCAGGTAGGCCTCCCACCAATGGTTGACAGATTGACCACGATTTGTCAGCATCAGCGGGGGCATGGCAGTCCTGGCATTCACCGCCTTCCATACCTCCTTCGAGAAGGGACAATCCTTGCAAAGGTGGCATAGTGCCTCATTTATCGGTAAGCATAAGTGAGAAACCAGGCTATAGGGAAAATCCTATTTGCTAGGTTCTCTGTCATCGGGATTCTACCATGCAACACGAGCCAGACGAAGAGCTTGCGTTTGGGAACGGTTATTTCCTTCCAATCCTTCCCAGGACGACAAGGTTGCACATGGGCAAGGGTATCTTATATACAAATTTGGTCAAGAATTAACCTGAGGCCATGGATGGTGTCCACGCAGTTAGTGTCGATGTTGGTGTTCTACAGAAGCTCCAAATGTCAACAAATTCCCGCAGTGGGTAGGGGTGCTGAGACATGCGACAACTATTATCCACTTGCCCCTCCCCCCGCCCCCGAAGATCCTAGTTTGTCCTCTAGTTCTTCCTAGTTGCGATCTTGAAAAGCTCTAGGGCACGGTACAAAGTGTGGAATACCAAATCCAGTAGTCTTGTCAAAAACTTATCTGCTGCCATCGCCGACAGTGATTGTGATAGAGGCACGAAATGGATCCATGTCCGAGTCGCTACAAGGCAGATCTGAACCCACCCAAGGGTGCTCTGGGTCATTCCATTGGAACCAAGGCTAGCGCAGGCACAAGGCTCCGTCGAAGCGGTCAAGGTCAGCATAACATGGGTTGTTGGCATGCATACATGGATGGGGCTGCTGGTAGGGCCGGCCTTGAGCATGTGCAACCGGTGCGGTTGCATAGGCCCCCCACAGCTCAGGGGGGCCAACCCATGTCAAAATTGTATAGTACTATACTAATATTATATGCTTATATAATTGATCACCCTGCTATTTAATTTCCAACCCACGCCCATGATGCAGCCTCCACCACACAACAACACTCTTAAGCCCAAAATGAAAGAAAGCAATGGGCCCTTGAGGCCTACGCTGCCACGCTTTCGATGCTGATCCTAAAAATAGTGCAACAAGCATTGACCAACCACTCCAACCATAAGGGTGTCTTTGTTAAAGTTTTCTATTTACCTAAAAAAAGTTAATATTTCCTATGTTATTTATGGAATAAAAAATTGTCTGGAAATGAAAAACGCAAAAGGAGAGAACAAGTAAAGGATTTGATAGAAGTTTTCAACCAACCGTTCCAAGTGTTATATATATGCTTATTCACAAAAAAAAGTGTTTTTATGCTTGGATGCGATAGTAATTAGTACTTTGATATTGATTAACAATTCAAATACAAAGAAAACATGCTAGTATTTCATAATTTTGTTGTGTGTGTAAAAGGTCTCTCTTTGTTATCTTGCACCGAGGCCCCTCACATGCCAGGGCCTACCGGTGATAATCATGCTTAGATAACTATACAAAACTACATACAATGCATTGAAAATGAACTTTCATGTCCTGGTGATAAACTCTAGCTTTACTATTTGATTAACATATTACCTATCAACACACATACACAAACTTATCGTGGCCCCTTGCTTCCTATGCACGCTAAGGCCGTCATGGATACAAGGGATGGCTTATACTTGTGGTTATGTGCTCGTGTACTGCAACATGGGTAGGATTTGATCGATAAACATTGTCATGGGGCCATCATGAGCGCAGGTTATGTGCGGCCCTCTAGGTAGGGATCAGTTACGTGGTTCCAAAGCTCCTTGTTGGATTCTTTCGATGGGAACCTTTTCCAAACAAAGGTGTTGATTAGTTTGATGCCAAAGATTGTTCAGTTATGGCCTCATAAGGTAGAACTGGCTAGTATTTTATTATTGTATATGTACCATGTTTTTGTATGATTGTTCTCGCAATCTCATACACTTCATTGTTCATTCCTTTTTTGGGCGAAGTGATGCTTCACAACTCTCATGTCTATATTATGATTGTAGCAATGTTGGCATAAATATGAAAGGCCAACTCAAAACAACTTGAGAGTGGCTCCTTGACTATTGTTACTTCCAGAATTTAGGGGCTAAGGCTACAATGTTGATAGAAACAGACCCTAAGTCCATACCATAATGCACCATAGACAAAGGAATATATTAATTTTAGGCACATGAAAAAATTAATCTCCCAATCCTCCATTTAAGTTGATATAATTTTTTTACCATTAAATCCACCCATACAATTGCACTTCCATAAGATGTCACTCTAAGGTACAAGAAAGTTACCTCACCGCCCAAGAGGCGTAAACCCTAGCCCCGGAGATATATATCAATTATTCATCTTGTGCCGCTCAAATTATGTCGATATTTGTAATGCTCACTAAAAGTAGTCCTCAACATGCACTATATGACTTGAAAACCTTCATCATTCCTTCCTAAATCCCTTGCCTAGAAGGTCTAACTAGTAGTCAACTATCCGGTAGGGTAGGGATTTGACTCGACTTCGCAAGAATTACAGTCACCCATGTTTGAGTCCTTGGACCCCCTTGGGTATGCATCTTCTTAATTACGAAGTACTAGAGCTCTGACCCAATTGTCCACGAATAAAATTATAATGTCACTATTGGAAATGCCTCGTGGTAGATTAGCTTTTGATCCATTCCCTATTTGGTCTCATAGGTTCCTACCATGGCCTTTGCTGCCAAGTTATCACTTGCTTATACCGTTATATGATTGCTTAGTTATTCCCATGCTCCATGGGGAATTTAAGGCCACAACACCAATCATTTGGGGGCGTGACAACAAATTGGTAGTTTTTGATGGAATCGAGACAGCTTTGGATACATTATGACAAAATGTATTGCCGATCCATGTATTTATGAGTGAATATACACATAAATAACAACATAGTTGTCTGTTGAATACGGGAATCTGGACATTTACTGCCACCATGTACCTACAACATTTCACTCATGTTAGGACTCGGCGCGAGTTTGAATTCAGGAATGGCAAAAAGGACAGATGCTTTTCCAATGGTAAAGACGAGCACACTAACATTAAAATAGACAAAATAATGGAAAATTATCCATAGATACCATATTATGCATATCAGGTTTGCTGAGAAAGCGTATATGGTTCGGTTTAAAATCTTTGGGTTTAAATCATCCTTCAAATATTTTATTATATTGTTGGTTTTAGTTATTATTTGAGAGCATTTAAAATAATAATTCTCACATTCAAAACTCTCATGAATCATGATAAATTCATTGTTTCACAGGAATTACGTGGTGTCGGTGTTGTATGGCCTACTCATATCATGGAGAAGCCAGATTCAGAATTCAAGGAAAAGTTGATGTGTCTTCTCCGCAAACCATTTAGCCAGAGAGAATACATTGTGCTGATGGACAAGGCTACGACTCGCCTTCCGGCAACAAAGAAAAAGCTAACACGCAGTGGCGTGAAGTACTACAACTCTAAACATGAAAGGGAACCATCAAATTTTGATTCTCATCCAGGTATACTTGCTTTTATACTACGTATATAACTTGTTTTGTTCATTGGATTTATGTTATATACTATTCCCCTTATTATTTCTGTGTTGAAATATCTTTTTGGTAATTATTGCGATCACATGGCTAAAGTAACTTTTATACATAATGATTATAGGATCAAAATCATTTTCCATGCTTAATGAACACTCTGCCTTGTTATTTATGAAACAATTTGTGCTTGTTTTTTCTCGCAATTTTCATTTTCCTTTTGAACCTTCCAACTTGCAAGCCAACATTGTGTTTTTTCGGTGATATATTGGTTTACAAGACTGTTAAATCTATGTCAAAATAGCTTGCTTGAATCTAGGTGAACATACGCTTTCTATAGATACACTTGAAACCCCTGCACGCTTAGGTTAGCAGGACTTTAGAACAACAAGCACTGTGGCATTTTCATAATTGTGTTGCACAAATTGTCATGTAATTCTTATTTTCTTCTTTGATAAAATACAAAGCTTGCATCTCGATGAATTGGTAGAAGAGAAGTGGTTGTACTAGCCTTAGAGAGGCCACAGCTTTACCCATGCAACACAACACAATTACATTATGTCGGCGCAGAAGTCCAGCTGCGCTGTGAGGGAATGTGGAGGAATTTTAACAAATACCTAAATTAGAAATAGTTTGCTGTGGAGTACTATATACTGATAATGGGTTGTGTTTGACTTAAAACTTGACTAACCTTAACTTTCAGCGTATTTGCAAAGGTCATCAACATGATGGCAGTCCAAAATTAAACTCCAGCAGGTTTATTTTATTTGCTATAATAAATGGCTTTTTTTTGCTTGAGAAGTTACCTTTCCCAATAAGACGAGAAAGTAGTACCAAATCATATTGGTATCTGGTTTGAAGTAATGTGGTATGTGGCAGTTCAAAAAACACTGATTTCTTACATGGGGTAGTATTAATCAGCACGTGTTTTATATTTATAACTCCAGATCTTGCGGAACAAGTAGAAAGCACCAACAAACCCAATCAGCTAGCTCTGTTGCGTGGATTTTTCTTCTGGATGGAGGTAACC